ATGATATAACTAATACATTCTAAAAACTAATAGATCGTAAAATATAATCTACATGATCAAATTAAATAAATAAGATTTATTATCGTGCATAATACAATATCTAAACTATATTCTTCTATTAAAATAAAATATGTTGCTTCAATAAACATCTGTTCACTATCAATAAAAGTTTCTTAGAATAAACTAATGTATAAAAGAAGAATATTAATGCTATTGAACAGAACCTTCTGTGACCATCGTAATCAATATTTTTAAAGACAAGAAATTTGTTCATCTCAATGATGAATATATGTTTATTTATAATGTCAGTAATGAATAATAATAAAAAAAAAGAAAAGAAAAGAAAAATCTATGCGTGGTTGTTATTTTTTCATGCATTCTTAAAAATGATAAAGAAGAAGAAAAAGAAAATGAAACATTCATATTTACATCAAATATAGTACAAGTATATATATATATATGTGGTTGATACGTTTTTGTTTCGAACCTTTCATCTACATCTAATCAGATAGTTTCCCAACACAATATCAAGAAATTTTCACAAATACATATACGCCACAAATACGAACTTGTCGATGAAAACAATAAATATATAACAGAATAAGAAAAAAAAAGTAAAACAAATAATTGTTGAATTAACCAAAAAGAATGAGTAATATAAGGAATGTTCATATGAACGTAAATAAATGTGTTTGATGAGTTATGACTCTTTTAAATATATATATATATATACAGAAGTGCTGTTGTTGTTTGCAAATTAAAAATCAAGTTAAAAGCAAAAAAAAAATTGAAGAATGTGTTTTTTTTTGTAAATATACGAGGAGAATAAATGTGTTATGTACAAAATCAAATGTATTTGCTGCATTGTTTTAATCTAATGTATAAAAGTATGGTGTTTTCATACGAAGATAACGACGTAAACATAAGTACATTCTTAAAAACAACAAAAAAGAAATATTTTTATTTTTTTTTCTTTTCGAATAATTAAACTTACATTCCCATGCCAAGAATAAAACTGGCACAATTACTTAAAAGAACAAAACGCATATGTTTTTTTTCAATTAATGCTTTTTCAGCTTCTTGAGCTGCTTTTTCTTCTTCATCTTCATAAAGTAATTGATCACGTACACTACGATTTATTGGATGAACAAATTTCCATTCTCTGTAGAAGAAAAAAAACGAATACGATAATTTAAGAAAAACGATTTTTTTTAATTCTACTTTGGTGGTTCCGATTCAATACGTGATGACCAATGTGACATCCAATCTGCAACACTTTGATCTGTTTGTAAAGGACTCTTTGGACTTTTTGGTGATGAACTAGAAATATAAAATATATATAAATATATATATATATATGTTGATTATCGATTACCTATCACTATGTGAACTTTTTGAGCTAACACGTGATGATTCTTTTTGTGCTTCTAATAATAATCTTTCATTAATATGCATACTTGATAAAAGATCTCTGTCAGCAAATGAACTTATCATTGTTGGTGGTGTTATAGTTTGTTTTTCTTCTGATTGAATATCAATCCATGAATCTAAAAAAAGAAAATAAAATAAATTATTAAAAGATTTTCTTATTTGATTTTATTTTACCTGATGTATAATGTTCCATTGATTTGTTCATGATTTCACTACTGCTCTCTTTCAATTTTAAGTGTAGAAATAATCTAAATATATTAACATTTAATAATTATTGTTTGTCAAACTAACAATACGAGTAAAAAAAAGAAAGTGTTATGTCTCCGTTAGAAACGTCAAATACGAAAAAAAGAAAAAGGTCTTTTTCCTTGTGACTCATCGAGTAATCGTTCGTTCGAACCATGTGATTTATACTATATACATATATTTATTTTAATACACGTGATCACTTGACCTATCGATATAGATCAGGACTAAAAAGAAAAGATCTAATACTGTTCAATTATAACTCAGCAGGCGCAATAATAACCATGAACTTTTATCTAAGTGCATATAATAGTTCTGCTGCGATCGAACACATGATCATGTAAACACGTGTGGACATGGAATGTAACGCAGTTCCTTAATTGATTATATAAAATGCATTAATGTGTTAAAAAAATATTCATTCATAATCATAGAGGACGTTGCTTGACATTGATTTTTAAATATGGTGAATTGTTCCTACCGACCAAAATTCAATCACAAAAAAAACACTGTATCATTTTTTGAAAAAAATGCGTTATAAGGATCTTGCAGTTGTTATTGAACCACATGAAATTAGATTTCCTCATGCTATTCAAAATAATCTTTATCGACAGACAATTCATGTGAAAAATGTAGGAACTAAAAGTAAACGTATCCAAATATTTCGACCATCGAATAAGGTAGATCGATCATGTTTTTTTTATCTCTTTCTTTCATTTTTATTTTTGTAAAGGATTTTCAATTAATCGTTCAAAATCCAGATCAACCTGTTCCACCTGGTCTTGAAGTAACAGGTGTTGTTGAATATATAGCAAAATTCAATCAAGAACAACGTGATACTATTGTTGTTGATATTGATGGACAAGAAATTAAAATTCCTCTATATGCTTTTCCAGCACGATCAGAAATCTCAGTTGATGGTACTTAAATTTAATTACAAAACTGAACGGTTCATATTTAATTTATTTAGATATGGTTGATTTTGGTATTCATGTTGCTGATAATAAAACTGTTTATAGAAAGATTTCTGTTAGAAATACTGGTAGTACACCAGCAAGTTATAAAATTACTTATAAAGGTAAACATCCAATTACATTTGCACCACAAACAGCAACTGTTCAACCTAATTCATCTGTTTCGGTCGAGATTTCTCTATTAACATCAGCATTGATGGTAATTGATGATATTGCTACGTATGTTAAATTAGGATTATTTTAGAAAAAAAACAAAGAGAAATTGTGTTTTTTTTAATTATCTTAGATTAGAAGCATGTCATAAAACTCATGAAATAAAATTAAAAGGAAATATTATGAATCGACGTTTATGTTTACTTCATCCTGAAAATCAAGAAGAATTACAAAAACTTAATTTTGGTTCTTGTTATTATGGTTGTGATCTTACTGCATTAGCTGTTCTATATAATGATTCACCTGAATCAGTTGCTTATTCAGCATTAATTGATGATTCTAAACCAACAGTAAAATTTTACATGTAAAAAAAACAAATATCTAATCAATATTATTCTTCTAGGATTTTGCTCAAAATGAAGAATCTGTTACTGAATATACTATGAATCCATTAAATTCTATTATTACTGTTTTTCCAAATCAAGGCATACTTAGTCCATTTGAAAAACGTCCATTATTTTTTCGTTTTAGTCCAAGGTAAAAAGAAATTCAATAATTTATTTATATAATTATCTTTTTTTCTTCGTAAAATAAGAGCTTATCCACCTAAACAAGCATTTGCAACAACGCTTGATTTACCACCAAGACGTGATGTTGCTGCATTTATGTATTTTGAATTATTAGGTGCAAGTCCTGGTCTATCAAAAATTGAACATAGTAAAACAAAACTTGAAATAGCTGTAGCTGGAACAGCATTACCAGTTGTTTTATCACTTGAACCTCATGAATTACAATTTCCAACAACATATATTGGACAAAAATATGAACAAAATATTCATATATATAATCAATCAGATCATAAACCAATTGATTTTCGTTTTCCATCAATCGCTAACTTTGCTGTTGAACCAGCTTGTGGAAAATTAAAACCAAGACAAAAATTAAAAATTACTGTGACATTTCTTCCGCATCAAATAGGTCGGTTGATTCAACTTATTGTCATGTATCATCTTGTTTTTTTTTCTCCTCTTAGGTACTATTAATAAAACACTTGTCTGTGAAGTAGTTGGAGCAGTTATTAATTCTGCTGCACCAGTTTATACTCAATCCAAAGCTATTCATCAAGCTCAATGTGTATTAACTGGTCATGCATCAATGATTACTGAAATACCACCAGAAAAATTTAATATGGGTAATTATCAAACATCGAATAGTTTCTTCCTAAAACAAATAAAAATACTATTTTTTTTCATAGGTTTAAAACCATTAATTTCCAATGAAGTTGGTATTAATGTAAATACAACACAAGATTCATTAAAATCATTTTATCCTCGAGCAGCTATATTAAATAGTGCTCATGATACAACACATATAAAACGATCATCAAGCACATATTTAAATAATTTTAAAAAACATAAAGTTTCATTTCCAAATGATCGTGCTAAAAGTATTGGTCCATTTAATCGAAGTGACAGTTTTATGTATGTTGAAAAGAAAGAAAAATATCAATTAAGAACTATCATTATAATTTATTTATATTTAGAACACCATTTACTAGAGAAGAACGATATAATTATGTTGATCCTGATTATGCATATACAGATAAAGAAAGGAAACAAATTGAAATGCATAAGAAACCTTATAATGAATTATTTAATGAACAAAGATTTCAACGAACAGAAGTTAAACGAACAAAGTAAAAACAAGATTATAATTGAAGTTCGATATATATTGTATTTTAGAGAATATAAAAAATATGATACTGATACAGATCTTGGAATAAAACCAGGCAATAATCTTGAATCACCTCGAATTGCTTTAGCTGAAGTGGAAAAAAATGTTAATAAAGCAAGAAGTATGAAAATAATTAAATATAAATCTCAGAGAATAATTTTTTATTATTGATTGTTAAAAAGCCCAAACTTTTATTTTCATTGATTAAATGAATAAGCAATGCATGTCATATATAGTGTTTTTTTGACTCCTATCGACGTTAAAAGGACATTAAAAGATTTTTCTATTGAATTAAAAATGATAAGGGTACATCTTTTTATAGTATTATTCGTAGACAAGTTTTATCAAGTGATTTACAAAAAGCATGATATATATTTTTGTTTTAGTGAGATTTTTCTATTCAAGAATACTTAACATAATCAAAATTTTAATGAATTTCCACATATTTGATCCTTTTTCTTTTTCTTTCATTTATGCTTTTAATAACAACGTCAAAAACTTATGTATATTATCTTATTAAAAAAAACTATTTTTTAAAATAGCAAAAAAAAAAGGAACAGAAAAGGAAGAAAAAATAGAATAAGTTGTGCGTGATTATCCGATACAAGAAGTAAAAAAAAACGGCAGAGAGGGGAAAAAAAGATGCGTATATAAAAAAAATCTTTTTTTTTCCTATCATTTTCTTTTATATTAAAGTTCCGTCGTATCCTAATTGGAAATTTCGTTTACCAACAACATCAGAATTAGCTGAACAAGAACAAACATTATTACATAAACCATTAAAAGAAGGTCTTAATTCTGTTCCAACAACCTTAAAAGAAAAAAAAGATTGTGCTATACAATTAACACCAAGTCAATTATTTAAAGTTGTTGTTGGTAAATTAAACATTTTTTTTTAATTAAAAAAAAATACATTTTTTTGTAAATTTAGGACCAGCTGAATTAAATTTCGGTGATGTATGTGTTAATGCAACTGTTACAAAATTTTTATCCGTACTCAATAATCTTGATCAATTTATTGTTGTTCAAATTGATGTAAAAAAAATTTTTTTTTTTTGTGTTAATTAAAATTAAAATTTTGATTTAGGTTGAGTCACCGGCTTTAAAAATGACATCACCATTATGTCAAGTTATACCTGGAAAATCTCATGTACAATTTCCAATAACATTTGAACCATCACAAATTGGTCTTTATCAACGTTCAATTTCATATATAATTAATAATTTTTATCGTCATTATGTTAAAATAATTGCTGATGTTCGTCAACCAACTGTAAAATTATCAACAGAAAGACTTGTCATACGTTCATTACCACATTTATTAGCAGAAGATTCTTTTCGAAAAGTTGTTCATTTATATAATCCATTAAATGCACCAGCTGAATTTCGTTGGGAACCTGTTATTGGACCAAAAGGAACAGCATTTTCAATTCGTCCAGCAACAGGTTTGTTTTTTTGAATTTATTTTTAATAAAAAAATTTAAAGGAAAAAATAATTTTCTTAGGAATTATTGAACCTTATCAAACAATTGATTGTGAAGTTGTTTGGTATGGTAGTACACAAGCACCAGTAGAAAATTATTTTACATTGCATGTTTTTTCAACAAATGATACACGAAAAATTTCAGGAAATAATCGTTCATTGAAAACAAATAATGAAACAACTGTTACACTTCAATGTGTTGCACAAATTGGGAAAGGAAAATATCGTATTTTAGAAAAACGTGTTAATTTTGGTACAATACCAGTTAATATGACATCAAAACAAACATTTACAATTATTAATGAAGGAACAAATCATCTTTTCTATGAAGTAATATTTGATATTAAAAAGAAAATAAATTCTATTTTTTTTATTCTTAAGATTATTGATCCAAATCCTTGTCCTGGTGTTATTATAACACCAGCTAATGGTCTAGTTTCAGCTGGTTCACAAACAAGTGTAACTATTGAAGTAACACCTGTCGAATTAATTAAATTCGATATTAAATTTGGTTTAAAAGTACTCGGACAAAAAGAACAAGAAATACGTATGACAGGTGATGTTGTTGAACCTGATATTAATATACCTGAAGGAGAATTTAATTTTAATGGTGTACCAATATTAATGAAAGCAGCCAAACCATTTCATATTGAAAATAAGGTAAAAAGAAAAAAAGAAATTTTTATTTTTATCGCTGGTATATAATTTATTTATTTAAAAAAAAACTAATTAAGAGAAAATAGTATTGAATTGAAGAATATATAAAACATAGCAAAGTTATTTAACCTTTAACACGAAGACATTTATCTGTACGAAGACGTCGTTTAACACAAATATTTGGTAAACAACAACGAGCAAGGCTAAATTTACATCGAACACATTGCTTTTGATGCATTGGATCATGACGCATTGGATCATGATGATGTGATGTATGCATTAAAAATCGTTTTGCTATTGCATGATTTCCATCGATTAAATCGAAATCATTATCATCATTATTAGCCATATTCATATCTGATAGAACACAGGTTAAAAGAGTACCAATAAGGCATAATATAATAAATATACGTGTAGTTTGCATGATTGTAAATAATGTATAATAGCGCAAAATAAGAAAACTAGCGAGTATTTATTTGTTCTCATTATATGATTATTTGTTAACACTTTAATTGTTGATGATGGGTTAGATAGCAGTTTGAAGAGAATGTGCGTCGGAAAAAAAACTAGATATTAGTTCGTACAGTATAGATTTAGTTCTTATAAGTTAAGAACAAAATCGAAATCTATCATCAATTAATCAACACTGATAAATGATAAGAAAAGATGTTATTTAGTAAATATTTATAAATCGACGTAATATCAGTCTTATTGTAATAGAGTACTAAGAATACTTCTTACTGCTCTATTTTTTTATTTTGTGGGCGATATAAAATGTAATTTAAGAACAAAATGAATTTAAATGTTATCAATTGAAGGCGTGGGTACTTGAGAAAATCAACAGATGACTTGATCTAAATACTAATAAATACTGAAGTTAAATTTCGAAAATATTATTCATTCGACTATTATTATCATGCGTACTCAAATCATTGCCATTATTGTTTCTCTTCTTGTCTGTGCTACATTTTTGGTTTCGGCCAAACCTGCTGCATCAGTCGGCGAACAACATCGAGCTATTTCATTTCCAAATATATTTCAATTACAAAATCCATTTTGTGCCTCAATGTTATGCTTTGCTCCATGCAATTGTGGTAGCCATCTTGATTCACGTGGATGTAGTACCTGCAGTTGTCTTCCATGTGATGGTGCATGGTGGTGATTCTCTAAATCTTTTTTTTTTGTCTTTGATCGAATGAACGAGAAAAATAAAATATAAAAGAAAAATATAGATTCATTGTTTTATAATAACTATATATATCACAATGGTACCTGAAGCACATTTATAACATTTCTACTCTTTATATCTTTTGAGAAATTATAAATTACATTTACAAGATAAATACATACATCATGGGATAATAATACATATGTCTATAATATTTTTAAACAGAAAATTTTCTATATGAAAATGAATCGGTGGATATATTGTATAATAATTTCGTTTTTTTTGTCATAGGGGAATGTCAAAGGTGTTGTTGAAATAAATCTTTCGAAATATCCAGATTTTAGTGTTGAAACTCATCCAGCTATCGGTAAATTTCGTTTTTAAATTCTTCTTTCGATTATCGATTAATTCAATCCATAGGTAATGAAGAATGTTGTACAAAAAATGGTCAGATATATAGTATTACTGTTCAACCAAATGAATCAATTGAAGCTGAACTTATTCTTATACCAACTGAAGTTTGTTTTTTTCATTTTCATTCTTATCAAAAAACTAAAAATAAACTATTTTTAAGATTGCATTTTATGAATTTTTTCTTCCAATACGAACATGTCCACCATTACTGAATGTCGAAGGTTTATCTCAAGCATCTAAACCTCGATCAGCTTCACATCCTGACCGTGAAATAAGTGCATCTGAACGACAATCCGTACAACCATCACATCCACCAATACGTCGTCGTATACATGCAACAGCATTATCAGATTGTTTACAATTATCAACAAAAGATTTACATTTTCAAATGTATCCAACACAATTTAATGCCATGAAACAAAATGCTTATTTTGATTGTCAAGAAATTATATTAATGAATAATAGTAAAAAACGAATACATTGGCAACTTGATTTACGTAATAATGTGACATTAGATCATGATATATTTCGAGTATTACATTCATCACTTACAGCATTTGTAAGTTCATCAACAAGTATGGGTCCGGAAGGAGAAATTGATTCGAAAGAAATATTTTCATTTAAAATTAATTTTGCACCAAATAAACCTGGGACATATAAAACACGTATACCACTTTATATAAATCATAATCAAGAAACACCGTATACATATATTGAATTAACCGGTGAATTATTACTACCGAAATTAATATTTGAACCAAGACGTTTAATTCTTCCACCAGTACCACTTGATATTGAAAGTACTGGAACAGTTCGCATACGACCAGAAGGTTTTGAAAAGTAAGTTTAAATTCCAATAAAAATAAATATTATTGATTTTTTATATATTTTGTTTTTAGAAATACACGATTAATTATCTTAGCTAATGATAAACCAATTGATGCTTCATATGAATTTCGTGCAGCATTTACTGAACCAGCAATAATTAATATGGATAAACCACAAGATTTTCAAATGAAAATATCTTTTAGTAGTACTCAGTCATATTCAGAATTGATTGTTCTGAAAATAATTGATGAAGAAAAAAATTGGTTAGTTATATATTTACATATCTTTCTTTTTATTATTATTCTTCTATATTTTAGTTTTGAATATGAAGTTTATGTTACAGCTGATAATTCAATATTTACATGTTATTCATTTTTATGGAAATCAGAAAATGATTATCAAATTGTTGTACAACCAGGTCAAATTATGAAAGGAAGTCGAATTAAATCTGATGAAAGTAATTCAAGTGGTATGTAATTATTTATTATTATAAGAATTAAAAAAAACGAATTTTTGATATACATGTATAGGTGAACCATTATTAGTTCAAAAACGAGCAGTAACAAGTTCAAGTTCACGACCGAATACAAGTACAAGTGCAACATTTGATCAAACTGATCATACAATGGATGAAGGATCCATTGAAGACAATGCATCAGGGCAAAATCGAAATGAACGTTCTCCGGTAAATATATCATGTAGTTCTCAAAATAAAATAAAGTAACGGAATATATGTATGCGTAGGTTTTCTATAGCTTTTGAATGGATTATATTAAATCCTCTAAGTATTACCGAAAGTCTAGATTAAAATAAGATTTATTAATAAGTCTAATGCAGATAGTTCTGAATTGTGCATACATAAAATGACACATATTTCCAGAAGAAAAAACAAGATATTTACTCGTGTCTGTGTTTAGATTATCTTTGACTAGTCACAAAAAGAGACTTATTTTATAAATCTTAATTTCATTTTTTATGCATAATTTATCAAGTGCATTTTCTAAAGATCATGAACATCATATTTTAATCAGTTATAAACAACTTTCTTTTCTTTTTCACTAATTAAATATTTATTAAATATTTTAGACACCTTATGGTCATATGCATTCTAATTCATCACATACACTTAATGAGGGAACAACTTTTACTCAAGAATTACATGCTGCTTCAATGCCATATTTAGATAATGAATCTAAAACAGTGCAATGGCTTGTATCAACTCTTGAACGATGGTATTCTAATCAAGGTTGGCCTAAAGATATAAATCCAGTTCGAATTCCTCAATCATTTCGAAAGTAATTTTTCATTGAACCGAATTTATTTAAAACAAAAATAATTTTTTTTTCAGTGGATTATTTCGTCGACAATTTGAAACAAATGGAACAAAGCAAACTGCAAAAGAAGAACAAAAAACAATATATGATATGATAACATATTTAAGTGGACATTCATTACCAGGTATACCACAAAATGCTGTTCCACCAAAAAAGAAAGATGAAGCAACAAAACAATATTTATGGCAACATCGTTTACTATTATTATTTTTAAAGTAGAATTAATAAATTTTCTTTAAAAGGAAAAAAATAACTTTTTTTTATTTAATAGAACACAAGGTTCGTGTACTGCTTTTATTCGTCCAGAATTTCTTCTTCCACCAGATTTATATAAAGTTTATGCACAAATGCGTGATAATGCTTTATCACCAAGTTTACCAACTGATCAAAAAGATACTGAATTTGCTCATGAACGTACAAAACCACTTCATCTATCAAATGAAGTTTTTGAAGCTGTATCTAAAAAATCATGGATTGATGTACTTATGCAAATTCTTAAAGTAATTATTTTTCTATTCAATGTAATGAAATTATTTTATTTTATTTCTTAGACTCTTGTACTTGGTCGTGTTACTCCTAGATCTTATGAACAATTAGGTATTCCTGATCGAACTCAACCAATGCCTGATATAAATACTGATCCTGTATCAAGTAATATATATGGTATTAGTGAACGAATTTTATTAACATGGCTTAATTATTGTTATTCAAATTATCGTGAACGAGTTTGGGCACATCGTGAACAATGTAAGAATATTTTTAGTTTTAGTTTTGCTAGTATAAATACAGATACTATAAAAAAAAAGAAAGTGAAACTTAGAATTTTTAATATTTGAAGAAATAAATCTGATTAAAAATAGAAAAAACTATTCAGTGAATTATAATATACTCGTATGAATCCACTATTAGAATGTGACAAGAACTTCCTGTAGTTAGATAATGAAGCTATTCAACGTCTATTATCTAGATAGAATATGTGAACTTTGTTACCAGCATATATAGAATACGCAACTAATAATTATTTATTTCAGATCATTCATACAGTAGTATGTCGATTATATTGTGATCTAGTAAGTGCACATAATTAATAAGATATATCATTAATTAAACTAGTTGCCTTTCCATAGTCATAGTTGTAGAAAAGATTTTTAAGTTATTCCAATTATCTTTAGATGACATGCTATATAGCATGCACAAAATATTTTAAAATTAAATTAGCAGAATTTAGTATCTTCTTTTTTTCTTTTGGGTCGATTTTATTTATTTTTGAAAGTTAATGTCATTATATTATATTTTTAATTTCAGCTGATATGCCATCTGGTCGATGGATTGTTAATTTTGATATTGATCTTGTGGATAGTATTGTACTTGCTACAGTATTAGGAGCTTATTGTCCATTTTTAGTACGTAGAATTTATTTTCAAAAACAAAATTCGAACGTTTTGTTATTAGATTGAACCTCAATTAAAACGTATGTATGTTCATCCAACAAGTGGTGAACAATATTTACAAAATGCACTTATACTTGTTTCTTGTTTATTACAACTCGGTCTTGAATATGATCTTCAAGCATTAGATATAACACGTGCTGATCCTATATGTATGTGTTTACTTGTTTGTTATTTATATGAACATTTATCGGATTTCTTAACTCGTGGTACAATACAATTTACTGGTATTTTACATGAACCATCAACATCACAAGTTAAAATAACAAATCCAAGTCCACAACCATTAGTTTATTCATTAAATGTTATTGGTCGTGATGCTGATGAATTTCAACTTGTCAAAGGTAATACATTAAGTATACCAGGCAAAACATCATTATTGGTTGCTGTACAATGTAAAAATAAACGTCTTCGACCCACTGATGCTGTTCTATTATTAAATGCCAAACGATTAAATGCATGTTCAGGTACACCTATGGTTTTTAATTTACAAGGTTCAATACAAACAATAACAGCAAAAGTAAGTAATAAAAATAAAATCTATTATTTATAATTATTCTTTATATTATGCATGTTTTTTTTCTAAAATTCTTCTTCTTCTTCTTTATTAGTGTGTCTATTCCACAAAGGTAAAAAAAAGAGAAATAACTGTTGTTTGTTATTATAATTCTAATATGTGTCCTATATATTGGTGTTGTTTAATTTATTTATTTAAAAAGAAATTAAATTTAGTGTTTTTATTATTTATATCTGAAAATCTTTTTTTCCATTAAATTAGAAAACTCATCGAATAGAAGCACCAATTTATAAAATAACGAAATCAGCACTTGAGATAACAAATCCATTTGATCAAGGTGGATTATTTCAAGTTGTTCTTATTAATTCATCTGAAAATACACAAGAAATGAAAAATCCATTAGCTACATTAAATGACGAGTATGTTTTTATTAAAACAAAAACTTTTTTTTGTTTATTTCTTTATTTTTCAAATAGAAATAAAAAAGCAACAATTGAAGAATTATTTCAAAATTTTAAAAAAACGAAAAAACAAATAAGTCAAGATATTGATTGTTTCTTTATTGAACAAAATGCAATTGAATTAAAAGCACATGAAACAACACAATTTGAAGTACAATATATTGCAACAACAGCTAAACGTCGTGAAGCATTACTTGTATTTATGAATGAAAAAATTGGAGAATTTCTTTTTCTAATCGAAGGTATTCCAAAGAAACCTGAGTATGTTTCCATTAAATATTTGCTTATTCATGACAAACACTCACACACATATTTATTTTCTTGAATAGATCATTTTCCATATCAGGCGAAAAAGCAATAAAAGTTGATCAGAAAAAAGGTAATGTTCATTTCACACATGAACTATCAGTCTATTTTTATTTTATTCATTTAGCTAAACCAGGAAAAGTACGATTTCGAGCTGTAGTTGGCGTATCAAGTGTATTCGATATTGATGTTCCTGTTCATAATAGTCAACGACACAATGCTCTAGTTGCTGTTCGTTGGCAGGTAAAACAAAGAAAACACGAACATCTTGTAATTTAATAACTTATTATTTATTTATTACTTAAAACTCAATAGGGATTATCAGAACGCGAACGACAAAAGCAAACATTACTTGGTTTAACTGAACAATTACCTGATTCAGCAAATAAATCTTTACATCCATTTTCTCGTGTACCTGAATTTAAAGTTCAATCATCATCAACAACAACAAATTTTGTTTTTCCATCAAATCTATCATTTCCACTTGAAGAATTAACTGTTAAATTACCATTTCGTTTTCAAGCTGATAAAGCAGGCGTTTATTTAACAAAAATAACATTAGCATGTGGTGATGATATGCGTGAATTTGAAGTTGAAGTTAATTGTATGACACAGAGTGAAAATGAAAAACAAGCAGCAACATTATTTATGAGAACAAGTGTATTTGCACCTGTACAACAAAATATTCCGATTGTAAATTAAATAAGATTTTTAAATAATAACGAAATTTTTCTTTTCTTTTATTTTAGGCAAATTCAACAGAAGATGATTGGAATGTAGAAGTTAGTATTTCGGGTCATAAAGCATTTTCTGGACAAAAAGCATTTCGTGTTGAAGCAAAATCAGTTTATCAATATTTATTAACATTTAATCCACAAATTGAAGATGATAAATTTGCTGGTCAAATGATAATTCATAATATTGATTTAGGTTTTCAACAAACATATATCCTACGTGGTAAATCTGATCGTGGACCACCTGTAAATAGAAATTATTTTTAATTAATAGATATAATCTTAAAATTATTTTTTCTTAGATTGGTCATTTACAAATTGAAAGTAAAGTTGGCACAGCGTAAGTTTAAATATAAATTGTTTTTTTTTGTTTAAATTTTTATTCATTAAATAGAACAACTCATTCTATTGATATATCAAATAAACGAACGAAACGTACAGCATACTTTGTAACATGTAATCTTCCATTTGTACATGGACCACCCTATATTTGTATACCACAAAAGAAAACAGCTCGATATGATTTTGAAATATGTTCACCAAAACGTGGCAATTATAAAGGTGTTGTAGTTTTTCAACCAGGACCATGGCCAATTAAGTATATAGAAACTTAATAAAAAGAAAGCTTTTTTCCATTCTTCGAAAATTTTATTTTAATAGAGATGTTGATTCTGATGGAGATGAAATTCCAGCACTTGAACCCGATCAACCAACTGATTTTCAATATTCACTTTGGTTTACAATTGATATTGATGTTGAACCACCAAATCCACAATCAACAGTCGATTTAACAGCACCATGTTTAGTATGTTTAACTATACAATTTTAGAAAAATATATTTTTATTTATTTATTAAATTTAGGGTTCAAATTCATTAATTATTCCATTGAAAAATCCACTTGATCATCCAATACGATTAGATGTTGAATTCGAAACATTACCAGATGTTTTTGTAAGTTCTATTTTGAATATAATTATAATAAATAAATGGTTTTCCTTATTAAGGGTGTTGAATCAATTGAAATAGAAGCAAATGGTGAAGCACGTTATGAACTTCTCTTTAAACCGAAAACAGTTGGTAATTGGAATGGAGGGTAAGAAATAGTAAAAACTTCTTTTATAAATTTATTCATTTCTTATCGTACTTTACCTACTCAGATACGCGGAAAGAATATATTTCTGCTCGAATAAATTTTATCTATAAAAGAAAAATGAGTAATCGACCATATTAGACACTATAATTATATTCATTTACATGATTTTGATGTAGACTAGATATATCTAAGAATATTTTGAAAAAACAAAAAAAAAATCTTTTTTTTTAGTTTGATTTTTTATAATGAAGAAATTGGTGAATTTTGGTATGAACTTAATTTAACAAGTACAAATCCACGAAAAGTTGATTTACAATCTATGAACGCACCACTTGGAGGGTAAATAATAGAATAAAAATGTTTAATTAAAAAACAAAATCCTTTTTTTCTTCATTTTAAAAAGAAATACTGCACAAGAAATAACACTTGAAAATCCTCTTGATGAACAAATAACATATCAAACAGTAATGACAAATAATAATAATTTTACGCTAAATACTGATCAAGATACAATTACAATTCCACCTAAAAGTCAAGCAAAAATTAATATTATATTTAATCCATCATCAATTGGAACTGGTAGTGAACAACAACAACATCAAACAAATATTTCATTTGTTAATGAAAAGGTTTGTACTATAATAGAAAAAGTGCAAAAAAAAGAAAAAGAAAAAATAGAAATTTTATTTTAATAATAGATGCAATCAAATAAAAATTCTGTTTTAAATACTGAAAAAGTAACATTATGCTTTATCTTGCTGTGCTATTTATCTTTGCTAATTGAAGAATATCTTATTATCTGATAGATATTTAAAGAGAAATTTATGATTCTTGTAGTACTAAGTCATTTTTACATTTTGTACGACTGCGTGATTAAGTTCTTCAAAAGAATTTCTACATGATCACATGTACTATCTTAAAAACATTCTTCATTCCTTCTTCAAACCTCCATCCATCATTGTCGCTTTCTATTCTTTCCCATCATGGCTCACAAATATCCTATATTTACTCATACTAATAATCATATAATCAATCTTACCCTTCCCCTACACTTGTTCGAAAAATGACCCACTTGGTACTATAAGGATTAAATAAATCATTGATTTTTATTAGTTATCTATATTCAATAATATTTATTTAACTTTAGATTGGTACATTAACATACAATGTTAAGGGTGTTGGTACAAAACCACAAACACTTCAATCTGCTATTATAATGAAAACTGAAATTGGTGTTAGTACAACAACAGACATTAGATTTCAAAATCCATCGAATCATCCTATTCGATGTGAACTATCTCTATCAACTGGTAAAATAAAATTATAATTTTCCAAAAAACGAAAATCTTTTTTCTTTATTGTTTATAGGAAACAATAAATCATTTCATATTTTACTTGATAAACTTGAACATATATCATTAGGACCACGAGAAAAATTTCCTATTCCAATTGCTTTCTGTCCAGAAATCTTAGCTCGACATGATGCACAATTACGTATTATTGGAAGATTACCACCAGGAAAAACTTGGTCACCAGACAGGTAAAACATATTTTGTTTTTATTGATCAATATTTCTTTTTTTCTTCAAGTACTGATGCATCAGAATTATCATGGACATATCCATTACAAGGTATTGCTTTTGACTGGATACATCAACGAGAAGAAACTGAAAATGAATTGAAAATAATTGAATGTATATGTGGGGAACGAATTGAAGAACAACTTGAATTTGAATTAGATGCTGAATTATTTCGTTTTGATGATCGACAAATAAATAGTAAATAAGAAATTTTTTTTTGACTTCTTAACAATTTTCAATTATATTTTTTAGTGAAAAAAAATTCTACTATTATTGAAAATTATACAATTCTTAATGAAAATAGTTCAAATCAAGATTTTATTCAAAATTCAATTGGTATTCAACTTCGTAAAAATGATAATGGAAAAACAAATATTATTCGTTTTAATATTGTTTATACACCAACAAAATTTACTACGTAAAATATCTCATTTTTTTCGATATTTAAATAATGAATTGTCTTTGTTTTAATAGAATGGATTGTGTACTTATTTTAACACTTGCAACAGGTGGACAATTAAAATATCCTATACGTTTTACTACACTTGATGCACCACCCGATGATGAAATTACAGTTGAAGCTGTTGGTCTTAATAAAGTATCAACTGTTGGTTTCCGTTTATATAGTCCAACAAAGTAGATTAATTAATATGAGTTTTGATTTATGAGAAAATCATTTTCTTTTTATTAAAATAGTTCACCTATGGCATATCAAGCATATTTTACATCAAATAGTGATCGATCATTTAGTATAACACCAGATTCTGGAGAATTATTACCAGCTAGTTCAAATGGAACTTTATTAAAATTATCATTTTGTCCAACTGTTTATGGACGAATTTTTCATGGAATGTTAATTATTGACGTATGTAAAACAAAGAAAAATTTTAAATTAATAGAAGAATATTTATCATTTGAGAATTGAAAAATCTGAACGATATGTTATTCGAAAAATGGTTTTAAGATTCATTGATTAAAAGAAAATTTTGATAGATTATTATATACATGAGTAGAATAATTAAATTATTCATTGTAATTCTACTTATACTTTATCTATCAATCATATTTTACTAACCGCTCAATCTTAATATATGCTCGTCATATGTAATATTTTACTACAGGATATATATATATGAGTTAATTTATATTCCTGTTAAAAAGTCTTCTATTGATTTATTGTCTTCTTTCTGCTAATAACCGCTATAATGTACTACTTTAAGAATATGAAATAAGGATACCTAATAGTAAATATAATTCTTTGAAAGCAGATATTCCAAATTTCAGATAATGGGTTTCTAAACTTTTAGTATATTCTAACTTTATCATCTAATATTTCTATGTATAAAAATTTCAGTATCATACAAAAATGTCATCAGCGTATTTAAATGAATATAATTTAATTAGGAAAAAAGTCTATGAGCACGTATCATCCCAAACTTCATCCATTCTTGAAAGAATCTAAATCTAATTTCAAAACCGATTTATCACTTTGTGAGATTATCTTTCTATAACAAAACATTAAGCATATGGCGGAAAAAAAGAATTACGTTACGGAACCGATAATTGACGAATTTATCGTAGATGTAAGATGCTGAAAGCATCAATGTTTCGAATATAGTATATGCGAACATACAACCAATAACATTGCTACTAAACATCACATCAAATGCTCTAATAGATTTCTTTTTCATTGTCAAATCTGATTTTACTAATTTATATTCAATTGATTATCAATTCTATTTACTGACATTTTATATTAATTTAAATGGAACTCTTCTTTATTTTCTAGGCAAAAGATAATCAATGGAAATATGTTGTTCATGGAGTATTACCACAATATGAACCACCAAAGACTCATTCAAGTCTTCCTTCTGTTAACAGTGAAGAAATTGCTAATCGACGCGGAACAAAAAAACGAAATTTTATTCTTGAAAATCTTCAACTTCATCAAACTGCGATATCGTCACCAATTAAAGGTGCATCTGTATTAACAAAAACAAATGAAACAACCAGTGTTTAAAAAGAACTTTATTATTTTTTCATTCTCTATATGTCTTCCTTTCCAGTGATGTATATCCATTGAATAAAACTTTACTTTAGGTTAATTCTAAAGTTTTATAATTATTGTTTTTCATATCCTAAAACATTGTGATTGTACTAAGATATTTTTCTTTTGTTTTAATCACAGTTTTCTTTTCAAATCTCATTTTTAGATGACATCAGCATTAAAAACAAGTGAAGATCCAGTTAGTGAACGGAAAAAACTTTATATGTCGGAACGACAAATTCCACAATTATTTGAAGTAAAAATTTTATTCAATAAAAGAAATAGTTCTTGTTCTTTTTATTCTAGGCACTTATGGCTGCTATAATGAATAATGAACCTGATGATCATTATGATTTTATTATTGAAAGTTTAACAAAAGTTTGTTTTATAATGAATTTTTAATTCATTTATTTTTATTGTGGTATTTTTTTTAGATGAAACAACAGAAATTACCACTTCGATGGGATACTTTTATACAAATGCATGATAATAATAAATAATTATAGGAATATGTTTGATAAGTTTTTATTCTCATTTTATGTTTGATTTTCTTTTCAACAAAAATTAAAATTATTTTATTTATGAAAAGAATTTTTGTATTCTTTTTTTAGATCTAGTCATTAGAAAAAAGAGCTTAATTAAAACAAATACCGAATTAATTTCTTAGAATTAGATTAACTTAATAAAGCGTATATTTTAAAATAATTATGGCGTCGAGACCACATGCTATTTATAATAATCAAAATGCTATTAATTATATAAATAAAAAAGGAATTGATGAATTATTTGAGGTAGAAATTTTTAATAGTATTAAAATAACAAATATTTTATTTGATTTTTTTCAGGCTATAATGACAGCTCTAATGGTTTATAAACCCGATGATCATATCGCTTTTATTCGTGAATGTTTAGACAAGGTTTAATTTTTGAATATTCTCTATTATTATTATTAATTTTTAAATCATAATTTCTAGGTGCAAAATACCTCAAGTCGTATTCGCTGGGATCTGTTTGTAAGTAATACAAGTAATATAAAAGGTGCCTTACCATTGAAACCATCGAATTATCGAAATCGACAAAAAATCTTACCACCTGTTCGTCCTACTAATCTATCATCGAAAACAAGTCAATCATTAGATCGTAAAACAGCAATGAAATCATCAACATTACCACCGATTGATTCTAATAAAAAATTATCTACACATGTGCCTATTATGTTTATTCTAAGTAAATATTTTTTGTTTTGTTTTAAGAAGATAAATAAATAAATAAATAACATCTTTTCATCATTTAGGTGCATCAAGCTCAACACAATTATGTGCACGATTAATTGAACGTTATAATCAAATAACATATTTATCAATTGAAGATATTGCTAATATTGATTATGATGATAGTATAGGTAGAATCAACTTTTGTTTCCTTAAATTAAAGAAAAATTCGCAAAAAAAATTAATTTTATTAAGATCTTAAAAAACAGGAACATCGATATGATTCTATTCAAAATGCAATCGAAGAACGTCGTTCAAATGCACAAGGTTTTATTATATCTGGTCATCTTGAAGAAAAACATTTTTATAAAAAATGGCAAGAAAAAGTAATATTAATCATATTTCGATATTTTTCTACAAATTTCTTCATATATATATATAGCTCGGACGAATCGATCTAACAATTGTATTATCAACCGATCGATTAACAGTGTCAAATCGAAATTTAAATCTTGTTCAAGTAAAATAATTCCGATCTATTATCATAATATAAATTCGATTTATTTAGATTAATTCAAAAAATGATTCAGATATTATACTTGCAGATATAATTCGTGTTGCCGATGATATATTTCCTTTGAATGTAAGTTTTATTTACAAAAAAAAAAGAAAATAATTCATGTTTTGTTTTGCCATTGTATGTTTAGACATTTAGCAATAAAAATACGGAATTAATTGAATCGAAAACAAATAGTTTTAATTTACCAATTATATTTTGTATTGACAATCATCAATTACCAATTAAAGAAAATAATCATATTAAACTTGGTCAACGTTTATCACTTGATATTGAATTCGAAATAAATAATGTGGAAAATGTCGAAGAACGCAATAATTCATTTATTTATACATTATCGGAACGTATTGCTGAAGATTTTTCATTTAAACATATTCATTATGGAGATTTTAAGGAAATAGTACCACGTTTTGATCAATTAAAAACATCAATTATTGAAACAATGAGTGTATGTCCCGGTTATGTTATCGATCATTTTCCAACATCGTTCGATGATTTACAAAAATTTCAAAATGAAGTAAAAATATTTTCGCTCGATTTATTTTTCAACAAATTTTCTTTTAAGATTGGTCCTTGTGCAGTATTAATTTATATTGGTGAACATCAAACAGAAACAAAAGATGATGAATTAAATGGTATTGTTGAAAAATTTAAAGCAGAAAATAAAGCTATTTATGTAAGTTGAAAGAATTCTAATTAATAAAATTTAATTTTTTAATTTTTATTATAGATCGATTGTCTAGTTGAAGTCGACGAAATTTATGAAGATCTCAAGAAGGATATACTCAAACATATATGAAAACAAATATTTGCAAGCTTATTTATTTTACGTCTAGAGCAATAGTTTTTTTGTTGTTTATTTTTTGTTTCTTACATCTAGTCTTCTCGTGATGTATTATGTGCAATTATAGCGGGTCAGACTTTTTTCCTTCTTTCTTGCTTTCATTCCGATGTGCTCTTCCTTTCGTCCCTTCTTTATGGTCTTATATATTTTTTTTTGTGTGTGAAAAAGCCTATACGTCAACTGATGAAGCAGTTGTAATGCTGGTGATCAAATGCATTTTCTTCTCTTTTTCTTCTGTCAGTCTTTTTTTTATGCTTCGTCCTTTCTGCAACATTCATGGGGCAGAATAGGAGTGAGTTAGTATTCATTCGTTCGTCGTACTATATGGTCTATGTAACAAAAAAAAAAGAAATACAGCAAATACAACCAAAAAAAAGCATGAAACATAGTTTCTATCGTACTATTGTCTTATTTCTAGATTTTATTTTTTATTTTGTTTACAAAATCAAATAATTTTTTCCAATTATGAGTCAAATGCATACAAATACCAATACTGAATTGGCAAAAGATTATATTTCAAAACGAAAAATTCCTCAATTATTCGAAGTATATTATTTGAAATTAATTCGACATTAGAAAATATTTTAATTCCCTTTAGGCATTAATCACTGGTCTTATGGTTCATAAACCCGAAGATCATGTTGAGTTCATTGTTAATTCTTTACAAAAAGTATGTTTTATATCAAAAATATTACTCATAAGAAAGATTTTTGTATCTCTATATAGTATAAAGATGGAAATCAACAAATCAAATGGGATATATTTGTTGCACGAAAAGGTGGAATGAACAATAATTTGGCTCCATTGAAAAATTCAACAGATGCAAATCATTTACCAGCAACTTCGAATGTACCAAAAGTAATGAGTCGACCACCTGTACTTGATTCTATACCTGCTGGCAAAAAAGAAGAAAAACCAAAAGTCGAAGATCGACCACAATCACCAACACCTGATCAACAACAACAACGAAAGAATGAAGACGCTAAAGCTAAAGATCAACCACCGACAACAACACATGATCAACAACAAAAAAAAGATGATCATCAACCAGTTAAACCTGAAGAACATAAACTTACAAGTCAACCACCACCACCAGCGACACATGATCAACAGCCAGTTAAACCAGAAGAACATAAACTTACAAGTCAACCACCACCAGCAGCAACACATGA